TGGACAGCTTCAAGGCTGTCACTTGGCCTCTGGGACCGGTGACAGGACTGGAAGCCACAGGAGGACCCAGCCAGCAGAGAGGCTGAGGGTTGTGTGGCTGGCTTGCTCTGGGTCTCAGCATCCCCCATGGGGACAGGGTGTTTGGAGCCAAGCTTTCTCTGTAATTGCATTTTAAGGACCTCAGCCACCCAGGAGTGAGCATGGGGAGTTAGAGGTGGAATTCAAACCATCTGAAAATAGGAGTACTACACCATCTGGGCCTCATGCCATGGGGCTTTTCTCCAGGATACATTTGCCTTAGGAGTAATTGGAAGTTGGATCGCCCTCCTATATATGATTGCTTCTTAATATGAAGGCATGATTCCTCTCCTTTCATTGAGAAGGTGTTGAATTTTCCTGCAGTGGAAGATTCATTTCCTTGAAGTCTTGATATACATTTTCCTTGTTTTTTACTGAGTGTAATAATGACCAGTGGACTCCAGATGCTCATTCTTTGTCAGGGACAAGAAGGAACAAGGAGAAAAGTAGCTGATTTTTAAAAAGAAACAGCATTTCCAGGGAACACTTCCAGAAGCATTTTATAGCACAGTGGAGGAGAATGTATCCCTCTTGTCCAGTCCTTCCCTATCTTCTCTAGCCTGAGAGGTACAAAAGAGAAGTGTGCCATTCTGAACAGATGGATGTAATATCTATGGGCAGGAAGGAAGATCCAGAGAATTACAGGTTTGTCAGCTTCCCCTCAGTCCCTTGGGAGATGATGAAGAAAATCTTCTTAGGAAGCATTTCCAAACACATGAAGGACAAGAAGGTGATCAGGAGTAGTCAACACAGATTTACAAAGGGGAGATGATGCTTGACCAGCCTCACTGCTTTCTGTAATGAGATGACTAGCTTGGTCGACAAGGGAAGTGATGGATGTGGTTTACCTTCATCTTGGTAAGGTTCTAGTAGTCTCCCATAACACCCTCACAGACAAGCTGACAGGGTATGAATTAGATAAGTGGGCAATGAGCTGGATTTAAAACTGAACAGCCTGGCCTAGAGGGTTGTGATCAGTGGTACAAGGTCCATCTGGAGGCCAGTCACTAGTGGTGCACCCCAGGGGTCCATACTAGGGCTGGCACTGTTCCACATCTTCATCAGTGACCTGGGTGATGATGCAGAGCGCACTCCTGGAAAGTCTGTAGATGATGAAAAACCTGGCAGGAGTGGCTAATGAGCCAGGGGATTGTGTGCTGGCATGGAGAGAGAGATCTTGGCAGTCTGGACAGAGAGGAGTCTCATCAGGTGTGACACAGAGAAATGCCAGGTGCCATATCTGGAGGTGTTTGAGGGTAAGCCCCTGCACCAGTGCAGGCTGAGGTTGGAAAGCACTTCTCCAGAGAAGACCTTGGGATCCTGGGGAACAGCACACTGACCACGAGCCAAACGTGTGCTGTTGTGGTGACAGTGGCCAACAACTTCCTGGACTGCTTTAGGAAGAAGACCACATCAGGAAAGAAGACATTGTGTTTCATTTTTTTGGTAGATCTGAATTAACTTCAAATCAGAATGGGGTTTAGGCTTGGGAGGGTATGTCAGTGCCATTCAAGAGGCAGCATTTTGCACAATCACATAGCAAGGATGTGGTTACCTCATCTTCAGCTCCAAGTAGGGAATAGGATGCGGATTCTGTAAAAGTCTGGCAGGCTCTGTTACGTCTTTGCTGTCGGCTAAGTGCTGACTGCCTTTAGCCCACATTGCCTTGACTGCAAGACAGTTCCTGATCTATCCCAGTGTCCCTAAACGTGCTTCACAACTCACTTCAAATATCTGGCCCAAAGGAAAGTCAAGAAGTGGATTAGTTTAAGCTGATCAACTTGTATGAAACAGAGTAAATATGGAACTTTATTTAAATCCATAAATCCCTCTTTGGAGTTGATTAATGCTTATGGTCTTTATTTTGCTTCTCACAAACCAGAAAGCACTTAAATAATAGTGCCCTGCAGTGTGTCCTCACCCCTTTTTGCAATGCAGGTCTGGAGTCCAGATGTGTATTGTGGAGCACACTGAAATCTTCTATGAGACTGACCATCACTTTACCTGTACTTCTGATCACACTGGCTTGCTGGCTATGGGTTACATCTGTGTTGTTCTCACAACCTGTCAAATGCTATATTGAAATGGAAAGAGCAATGCCCTGGATTTTTTTGTGCCTCCAGTTTTTATTTTCAGGGTGTATAAACCTGCTCCCCTGAGCACAGATGCATAAAGAACACTTGTAAGATTTGATCACTTCAGTGCTTTGCCATTTATTTCTCTCCCTCTGTGCCACAAACTGACTTCTGAGATAGATGCTCAGCTGTATCCCAGACAGCTACATATTTATCACTTTATCACTCAGTTCTCTGGAAACCACAATCCCAGGGGCAAAAAAAGGTGCAGTCATCACCAGGTATATCATGATAAACCAATACCTGGTGAAGGAACTTCAATATTTCTCAGTTTCAAAGAACAAGTGATATTGTGTGGCTCTATTACCTGTATTTGTTAGCATTCTTCTTTCAACAGGTGAGTTTTAAACTCTGACTGTACCTGCAGGGAATATAGCAGTGGCAGACGTTGTACAGCTTCATATAAAGTTGTTGAGAGGGTCCCCTTTGCACCTGTCCTGTGAAACAGAATCATGTACCTATGAAGCAAGGACCCTCTTTAGAAATGGCAGGTGAATCTCATGCTGCAAGATTTATGCTATGAAGGTAAATCTTCGAAAGAAAAATCTCTTGCTGTGCAGTGGTTTCTTCCTATCTGTATCTGTTTTAGATATGGTGAGGCATATCTAAAACCAAAGAAAAGGGAATCTTTACTAATTGGATTTGGAGTTTATTTATGAAGAGCTGTTGAAATGGAAAGCGTGTTTGTTCAAATCCACCATTCTACCCTGCCAGGAGCTGAGCAGATTCTTCATTGGTACCACCTACCTATTTTCTTATTTCTGAGTATTGTGACACCTCTGATGTATTTTCTATCCTTGGATGACTCACATTCTTCTTTATGCTTCTCAATTTTTTATACCTTTTAACTGAAAAGAAAAATACTGCTATGAAATTGAAAGAACTGGGTCTAGCTTAAACAAAGAGTTTTTTCCCCAGTGCTTTTTAATATTTGGATGGTGGTTGTACTTCAAGAGTCCAGTCCTTCTTATCCTTTGTACACTGCAAAAAAACCTACTAAAGTTAATTGCTCATGCATGAAATGAGCCAGTGGGCAGATTTAATATTTCTGTAAATTAACGCTTCCTTCTTGATTTTCACAGTGTAATTGAAACTGGGAACTGATTATTGTGAAGACACCTGAATAAGAGAAACTTCTTCTGGCCTTTGGTTGTTAGAGAATGTTGTCCTCATCCCACCTTTATCCACGAGCAAGACTTGGTGCTTGCTGTGACTTGTTGTTGAATCTCCCTATAGAACAAAATTTCATTAAATTTAATTTTGAATTATGGAAATAATAGCTGAGTCTTGCATCACTTTGAGTGTTCTCCTAGATTACAGGGTAAATTATCTGCTTCTGATTGTTTGGGTTATTCAGTGGCTAAGTCAGATGACTCTGCGTAATTGACATTAGGATTCAGAGAGCAGGGCATCACTTGCAGGGCTAATATCAACTCCTAATATCAACTGCCACAGCAAAAGTAATGGGGCTGGGCCAGGTCTGACAGCAGTTTAGCCACTTGTGTGGGAAAGAATCTGGAGCACTGACTTTTTTCTTTGAAGCCACTGTTTTGAGGTGGTTCACTGTCAAGACATTGATGTGGCTGTTTGGATGGAGTTTGGTGAAGGAGACAGGTCCTTGTGAAGGTTTTACATACAGACCTTTTGGTTGCCCTTGTACATGCATACATTTAGCCTGTCCACTTAGAACTGAGCAGGTGAAACTTGGCTAATCCCTGGGGAGAATCTAAGCTATGTTGTTTGGGCGTAGGGGTTTTCTTTTTTCTCTTTTAATCTTAAGGAAATTATTCTGATAATGAATGCAGTTGGTTAGGAGTTTGGAAGATGAGTGTGCAGGAAAGGATGGTAGAGTCTTGAAGTGCTGGCTTCCTCAGATAGTTTTTTAATGTCTAGGAGAAACAATTAAAATGTGAATCATTATAGCTCCTAGCTGACTTTGGATGAACTAAAAATTACAGTGGCTGAAAGCATGCACTGATTGAGTCTGTAATAAAAAAATATTTTAGTATATTCTCAGCAGATTTATTTCAATCACCCAGGTTAGCCAGGCTGGTGGAAGCAGCAAGATTAGTAAAATAAACAAGTAGCTTAAGATTAAAGAAAAAAATTAAATAGCTTTTGTCGTTAGCAAGCATACAGCTGAAAGAAGTTGTACAATAAAGCTTAATGGTTTTATGTGGCAGTGTTAACTTATGGAAGTTTTGGGGATGAGGCGAGTTAAATCAGTTCCTCCAAATGTTCATATCATTTACTCTGATACTGCCTTACAGTCCACTAATACTTCTGCTCTGTAGGCGGTCGAAGAGTAAAACTCTCGGCTCAGGTCCTCTGATTTTTCATGTGAAAAATGTCACTAAATGAAAGGGAAGGTACAAGTGTTCATGGACACCTCCATTTTCACAGCTTTCACTGAGCTCCTTCTGAAAGTCTCTGGGATTCAGATTCTTCAGTCACTGGTGTAACTCCAGGCAGTCAGTTCCATTTCTCTATTTGAGACCTCTGCTGTGGTACATAGAGACATCTTCAAGTTGAATTCTTCAGGCTGAAACTGCTGCTTTCCTTCTGGCCATTGCTTCTTTCCCCAGTCCTAATGGTTGCCTCATCTCATTTATCAGCTAGTTATAAAACCTTATTATCATGCTCCTTACTTTGTCTTCCATTTTGATGGGACCATCCCATTTACATTAGATACTTGTCTTCTAAGTGCCATTTTATTGTGCTTAAAATCATCTCCACGACCCTCTGAGCACCACAGTGAAAACCTTGAACGTGCCTTTTGTCTTCCAGATCTCACTGCTGATTGGATTCATCAGCGTAAATAACTCTCCATGGACAGATTACAGTGCATACAGCTTCTTTCAGATTGTCACCATGTGCGACTTGGTTATGATTTTGTTCTTCTACATCATGCACATTTTCAGAGTCTACAGGAAGCTGACTTGTGTTAGCTGGCCACTTGCGGTAAGCCTGGGTTTCTCTCCTCTCTTGGGGGTTGAGGTCTCACTTTCTCAGTCCATTCCCGTGTGCTGTCTCACAAAGATAGGCTGTCTTTCACTCAGTTCTTTTCTGCCAAGTGTGCAAATCCTTTTGTTGCTTGCTTTCAGTTCAGTAGATTCTGGAACTGTAAGATTTTCAGCTGATTTGGATTTGATTCTGCCCTCCTTTACGCAGACATAAATCTAGATTTACTATATGGAAGGCAATAATTTTATCAAGAGACAATCAAAAGGAAGCTACTGATCATCAAGCCTTCAGCAGATGGGTCCTAGCTCAGGTCATTTATAGCAGCTCAGGGATTGCTAAAGTACCAAATCATAGCATTAGAATTCATGTACTACATCCTGTCCCAAAATAAAACCTGAGAGTGCTATTTAAGTCAGATGTGCCTATTTTTGGTACGGTTTTAGACAACTTACACAACAGCAAAAAATAGGAGCCTCAGCCTGATTGCCATAGCCTGGCCATTCCTGGGATATCCTGCAGGATGTTCCTGCCTCATTCCTGCATTTCCCATACACATCCATCTCTCATGTCCTAGCAGAGAACCAACAGGCAGCACCAAAAATGTGAGACCTGAACTTCCTCAGTAGCTCTGGCTCGGGTCAGCTAACAGAAGAGTTCTGTATCCTAGCATGGGATGATGGATTTTAGCAACCTCTTAGAATATGCCTCCCTTACATATGTTAGTTCCACTGAAGAAGGATCAAAGGAATGGGGAAAGCCAAGTGGAGAGATAGAGAGAAATTTTGAAACCCAAGAGGTGGTTGGGTGGTGATTAATGGAAGCTATGTAAGTAATTTACAGATCTAAGATAACAGTTTGTCCATCCATCCACTTATAACCAGAGAGAAAAATTTAATTTTCTTTTTAGGTGAAGAATATGGTTAGACTTCTTTTTTTTCAAATGTGTGCTGTCACTATCTGTTTTTAAAGGTACTTATTCATCTAGAGATAGTACAGCTGCAGGGATTGAAATAAAGGAGCGAAGTAAGCTAATAAATTACTGTTTTGCAGAGCAGCATTTAGTGTATGCATTGCTGCAACAGGACTATGCTATTTTTGCCTCTGCATGGGCTGCTTTTGTTTTTGATTTTTGTTTGGTTGTTGTGGTTGTGTGTTTAATTATTCCTCAATGTTCCAGAGTTTAAGGCGCTGAAGTTTGTGGCTGCTCAGCTTCAGAAAGCTCTATAGGATGTGGTGCTTGAACATTGCTGCTCTGTTACAAAACAAACAACCTCATTTTCAGTCACATTTAAGTATCTTTAGAACAGAAGAGGAAGACATGTGAGAGAGTCTGGGAAACTACAGCTAGCATTTGGATGAGTTTCCTGGCAGGATCTTTACATTGCAGTCAGGGGCGTGATTTCCAGCCAGTAAATCTGAAGTGGTTCAAGAGGTTGTTCATTGCTGACAGCTTTTAAAGCTTGGAAGTATTTCTCCAATGGGGCACGGAAGTATTCTTTTTGACTATGTTTTGTCCTGCCCTGCCGGGGGGTGGTTCTCCACCTAATGTGGCCTTTGACAACTCTGTTGCAGCTTTGCCCATCCCTTGGATTCCTCTGAAGTAGTAGCCTGTGTACACTGCTTTGTTTGATGTCTCCAAGGAGGCAATGGCATGTCCCATTTGCCTGCTGCATCATGGGCTAGTCAGAGGAGCCTCCTTATGCGTATAATTTATTCTGGCAAATGCAAGGGTTGAGGTTTTGATTACCCAAAACAAGCTTACAAATTAGGGAAGTAACTTGTGGTCTCAGAGCCTACTTTACAGGGAAAAATCCTCCTCAGCTCTTTTTAACACCTGAGCAGAGTGAAACTGGTATGGTAGACTGTTCATCTTCTGGGCTTTCATTGGACAATTTCCTTTTGAGCCTATATTCTGTCTTTTGGTTTGAGACAGAATCTCTCCTCTCCTTTGTATTTGCTCGGCTCATGCTGGTAGTGCACTGCAGGTAAAGGAATCAGATATCCACCTGCCCCACCCCACCATGCACAAGAAACAACCCGTGTTCGGTGTGCAAACACCTGCACTGGTTATCATAAGCTTTGTGAGGATTCAAAATTGAAATCCATGGATACCCCCTGCTTGTAACAAGGTAAAATTGACCCCTGGACTGGTACTTATCACACCAGAGAAGAGTTTAAATGTGGTGCCTTGGTTCTCTCTCAGAAAACCCCATGGCATCATGTTTGACTGCAGCTGTGCTTTTCGTGGCTTCCCTCCCTTCTCTGTGGTTTCCAGTCTCAGTTGATATAAGTTTTCAGTAAATGCAGCAGAAGATTCAGTGCTTACTTTCTAAGATTATCAGAAGTAGGAGCATTTGATTTTCCACTTACGCCATTTCATATAGGCTAGAGAAATATAGAAATATGTCCTTAAGGTTCCTTCCTTCCTCCAGAACCATCTCTTTAAGTAAGGTGTGTACTTGATGCAATGAAGTAATGTACTGTGCTGAATTGAAAGGGTTGCATCCATACCCAGCAAGCAAATCCTATTCTACATTAGTAGACCTAAGCTGTTATTTTTTGCACAGAAACTGAGGTTTGGTATAAAACCCACTGACAAAGTGAGTTGCTGGGTTTTGGGTTTTGTTTTTTTTTTCTGTTTTGCTTTTTTTGTTGTTGTTTTTTTTTTCTTTTTGACTATGTTTTGTCCTCTGGGTTTGAGGATTTGAGTCATCCCTGCCAACTTATTTTCTTTTTGAGACATATCAAAATGCTTTCCAGATAAGTTTCCCTTCTGATTTGTGCTGTGCTTGTCTTTACAGGAGTTTCTTCATTATTTAATTGGTACAATTCTGCTTCTCATTGGATCAATTGTAGCAGCAGCTAAGAGTTACAATATAACTGGACTTGTGGCTGGAGCGGTAAGACTGTGCTTTTTAGGCTTGACACTTTTAAAATTGCAATATATTAAGCAGGGCATTGGAAATCTACCTCTTGTACCTTTGTTTTCTTACAGACTTGCCTTACTTGTGTCTTGGTTGGGTGAACGACCTTTTAGCTCATTTCAGTGAATGTTCCGTAACACAGTGCCAACAGAAATATTTTGTTGTCAGATGCTAGACTCACCACTGAAGTTGATATTTGTCCTGACAGAGCGCTGAAACCAAAGGCTTCTGCTTTAACTCATAGGAACTAATGTGTTTAGGTGAAGAAGATTAAGTTAATTAAATTAAAAAATTAAAACTAAGACAATTAACTTTTGACAAAAGACTGTTGTAGCAGCTGAGGTTACCTAAAGGATTTCACCCCCCTGTTCGGCAGTCAACACTTCCTGTTCCTGAACAGAGCCCTGTTCAAAATAATTTCTACTGAGCTAAAACCCACTGGGGCTCTGAGCTGGCTTCTGGCAGGTGCTCTCTGCCTCTCTTGGCTGGCAGGCTTTACAGAGAGGCATGACTTCCAGTGTGGGTGACAGTATTTTCACAGCAGCAGGACCTGAAATACAACTCCTCCAGAATAAAGAATTACTTTCAGAAACTTAGTCCTGATGATGAAAACAGACTGGAAGACCTACCTGACTTGTTTATTTGGCAGATAGCAAGGAAAGACTTGTTTGAATGGGGCAGTAAGAGAGCAGTAATCAGAGGTGCTTGAAACAGACTTTTCTTTGTTGCAGAATCATAGTGAGAAGTTTAGAAGTTGACACTCTGTGCTGCTGTCCAGCTTTTTCTCCCTCCTTGTGTATGACTCTCAGTCTGTCTTTCAGTTTTGACAAGACATAAGCTGCTACTATACAGCTTCTACAGAAATTTCTGGGGTTTTTTGTGTTTTGGCAGAATGGAGTAAAAAAAACCCGCTTCTTTTTGGGTCTGTTAATCCCATAAAATGTGTAGCTGAATATACAAAAGTGCCCATACATGCATGGAATATGTGTCATCAAATGCTCCATAAGTATTTGTGGTTTGTTTGTTTTCTCATCCAGACTTTCGGGTTCCTGGCTACAATACTTTGTGTTATAAGCATGTGGTCATCCTACAAGGTTTCGTGCATCACACAGTCAACAAGTAAGTATTGTGCTGAGTAACTGCCAGAATGCTGCCCAAAATGAATATTTATAGTTTCTGGCACAGGGCTGTGTCTACCTGGAAGGATTTATTAATGCCCTGGTTGTTGTGACTCAAAATTACTCAAAAAGCAATAATTCCCAATTTTCTGTCACCACAGACGTTATCACACCTACTGACAGCTGTTAGCAAATAACTGCAAGAGCAAAATAACTTGCTTCTAGCAAGTAGTGAACGTGGCAACGCCTTTTTTTCTCCCTCCCCCACCCCTTAGCAAAAGATTTCCTGTGTGTTGCTTAAGAAATTGGATGAATTTGTTTGTGGCAACACAAGTGACACTGTCTTCCTTTTCAAAGATGCATCTGTGTGACTCCATCACCTGTGCAAGACGTCTGCTTACCTTACCAAACAGGATACCAAAGAGGAGTGTTCACTACTGAGGAGAGAGCCGTGGGTATTTTGTTACTAGCCTGGACAAGCTGGTAGCTTTGGAAGATCTACTTGAATGCCTATGCAAAACGATGTTGTGAACCAAAGTTTTTTTGCTCCCCCCACCTCCCCACACCCAAAGGAGTTTATAATGGAGAACCTGCTTGTTTTGGAGAAAGACAACTTCTGTCTCTCAAGCTGGGCTGTGGGGCTATTTCCAGCTATTTGCAATAAGTGTATTTAAAACTCATTTGGACAGTCATTTGGTTCTCCTTTCAGAAGGATGGAAAAAATTCCTTCTGATTTCCTCCATCTGTTTACATGAGGGGAATCCTGCAAATTCCTACCTGATTCTTAACTTCCAAGGATTATATGTTTAACAAAGGAACAGTTACAAACTAATTTGTGCCTGGATAAGCTGACCCAAGCCTTTGTTACCTCTTTCCATCAGAACTGTGGACTTTTTCTAACATCAACTCAGCCAGCATCAAAAGTTATGAACTGCAACTTGAAAACATCACTGCAAACACTTCCTCCTAGCCCCAACAGCACACGATGAAATCAGGGATTTTCTCCATGCATTTTTAGCAATCAAAGATTATTTGTAAAAAATTCCCTTGCCAAATACAGGAAAATATGTACCCAAGAATATACATTTAATATTTTATGGGGTCTTTTTTTTCTCCTTTTCATAGAAAGACCACTTCTGTAGAAAATTTCTATGCATTTGCTATAAGTTATTTGCTTTGTAATCTAACAGTGTTTATGGAAAGCCCATTGTGAATGGAACAATGCGCTTCTTTCTCTCTCTTACATGTGGTTTTGTCACTTCCTCTGCCTCAGCTGGAATCTGTGCTCCTGGGGACTCTGCCCAGAGCCTGGGCAGACAGAACAGTTCAGTTTTATCCAGCCTGGTATCATCATTAAATTCTATGTAACTTCAGTGCTGAGACAATGCCTTCTTGGCACCTTTGTCTTTCCTTTTGCAGTCCATCTCTGGTGAGCTGGGAATTCTTTGCAGGAAAAAAGGAAGCATGGGCTTTTACTCCTCCTCCTTGGTGCTTCTCCTTTCATGTCTAGCTGGGAAGTAGAACTTGGATTATTCTGTCAAGATCGCTGCATGATGGTGCAGCAGAAGTTGCATTTATACAGTTTACCAGGGACACTCTGAAGAAAAAGGCATTTTCTGGCCTGCTGTATATTTTTCTATTTGTCTGAAATTCTGCATCAATATTGCCAAGTAATTTAATGGTTTTCTCAGAAAATTCCTTTTGTGCCTCAGGGCAGGTCAACATATATTGCTATTTGTTGCCACCTTTTCTTTTTTTTTTTTTCCCTATCCTTATATATGTACCTTTACTTAGAATTTATTTTTAACTCTGGTAATTGGCCAGCTGCTAAAGTGTCAAAAATTTTGAGTAAGTAAATGAAAATAACTGAGCAGATAACTTGAAGAGGTAAGAATCCCCCTCCTCGTGGTGCAGTTTCCGTGATTCTTTTTTGTATTCCTTTTCAAAAGTGCCCTATTTAGAGCAACACAGAGCAGGAAACAATTGGAAAGCACTGTGGAAAAACTGTGTTTTTGGTGGATGAAGGTACATACATTCACACTAAGATAAAGTGTTTCAACATTAATACAGAGGATTATTCAAGTCACACACACACACGGTTATGTGAGTAATTTTTTGCAGCAGGGGTGCTTGATCACCAGTCCTCCTGCCAAGACTGACTTTACAGTTTTTGGAAACCAGCGGTCTGGCTTTAATTTGGACGGATATGACAGATGTTTAAGGGTACAACTTCTGCTGTTCCCCTAGAAGAAAAGGACTGTGTTTATTTCTCCTTCACCTCCTGAGGTATCCTCTCAGATTGACAGTAGGAACCTTCCCACGAGCTTTAAAGCACACTTGGCAATCCTGTGCCAAGCCAATGTTCTGCTGCAGACAGCGTGAATGCAGCTGGCACCTCAGCGCTGCGGTGGCAGTGGGGACAAGCACCTGCTAAGGACTGGGGCAGGAGCCTGAGCTTGTTCTACAGAAAAGGCTGTTTCCACTTTCTCCTGGAACCATGCCCTCTCTCCTGGCACTATACAAGCTTTTTTTTTTCTCTGCCTCTCACATCACTCTGTCACTTGTCACCATATGGAGAAAAAAAAAGTCCAGGGGGAATTTCATGCAGTCTAACAACCAAAGAATTTCTGAGCTATGTTCTGTGGTCATCCAAAGGATATGTTTTGCTGTAAGCACACTTGCAGTGATCAAGAGATGTAAGTTACCAGTTCCCTTTTGGTTTTTGTACCTACTGGCAGGGCTAAAATATTCCTGCAGCTTTGGCTGTTGTGACAGTGCTGGGTCCATAGACCCACCAGATGCTCCTAATCAGGATGCTCTCAGGCTGGAAAACTGACATCTCTGCTGCCAAAGTTTCCTTGCTTTCCCCAAGTCCTCCTTGTGAAGCGTGTCTACCAAGAAAAGCACAGATTTTCTGTTATCACCAGCTCCACCGGGGCTCGTTGAATGACAGCTCCGTCTGGCAGGGAATTCAACACCTCTCTGCTGTACCTCTGCCAGCAAAAGTGTCTTAAGTTTCCTTCAGTGTCAACCTGGCTCTGAAAGCTCCATCTGTCTGCAACTTTGTCAAATATGGGATTCCAGCTGTTTTAGAAATAAACTCTGTTAGCTATTTGGGTGATGTGGAGAATCAGACTGTTGTCCTGGTCATTTTTTTCCTTCCTCCACTACAGCAGTGGCTTTCTCTCAGGGGAGTATCAGAATACATCCTGTAACTGGAGTACAGTAGGTAAGAGCCACAGAAAAACCTGTTCCCTCCTGTTGTGTTTGGATGTGCTGGTCTCCAACTATCCCACCCAAAAGTTGTCCATCCTCTTCAGCTCCAAGATGAGTGTAGTTTATCCTTTGAGCTAACACAGAGTTTGGGATTCAGTTTTTACTGAAAAATTAAAATGTAAATGTTGGGAGAAGAAAATTGGTAGTACAAACTGTTTCATACTGTTCATAAACCTCATGTTTGAGCTCTAGGGGCTTGAGATAAGCTGGAGAGTGAATAGTGCTTTTGTCAGGTAGAAACCAGGAAAATGAGAAGGGGAAATGAAATGTTTTCAAAAAGAGGAAGAGTGGCTTTGAAAAGCTTGAGGACCACAGTGTTGGAGGAAGACATTACAGCTTATGTGACCTGCATAACTTGAACACTTTCTCTGTTGCTGAGAATTGGTTGCACTGTTTTGAAACAGTTCACTATGTGAGTTTTAAAGGAGGTAGCAGGACACCAGGATAATGATAACTTGTAATGAAGTGTGTGGGTGGTGGTGGAGTGTCAAGTGATGCTCCATGGAAGAGGACTCGGAATTTACTAGGACAAAAAGGAGCAGGAGAGAAGGAAGATCAGGTGCAAACAGCAGTAGAAAGATTATGAGGGGAGGAACTAATGTGAGTGCCTTGTGCACTAACAGAAATGGTGGCAGATATTAACAATTTCTGGCTGTGCTGGTTATTTAAGGGCAGATCTGCCTGGAGTGACAGAGAAGTCTCTTTACTGCTTGCCTGCACTTTATACCCTGTGTCTGGGATTTTCCTGTTCTGCTAAAGCTGTGAGGGGAGACACAAGACCTGACCACAGGCTGTAGAACATGGCATCAAGTTGCCATATGTTCTACCCTGTTTCACTTAAAATTGCAGTGGGCTCCACTGTGCTTAGAGACAGCATGGAGTCACATGGTGCTGCTGAGGCTGTGTGCTGGCCAGGGGCCTTGGCCATCCCTGCAGCTTGGGCAAAGTATGGACCTGCTTTTAGACTGAGTGCCACCAGAAAGCCAAGGAAAGCTGGATTTACATATCACTGGGCCCTGCTGCACATGCTGGAGGTGCTGCTGGTTGTGTGAGCCAGGGAGAAGTGGGTACCAGAGAAAGGGAGGCCCACATCCTGTTCTTTCTGCGTGCAGAGATTTACACCCAGGTGACAGAAGAGAGCGCTCACCACAAAGCTCTAGGGTGCTCTTAAGCAACCCACGTGTTTGGGCTGTTTCAAGTTTCACACTGGAGCAAGTGCAAGTGCCATGCCCTTGGCTTACCTGTCGCTCCTGTGCAGACACACAGGGCTGCACACTTGGGAGCCCATCCTGTTGGGAATGGGTGGCTCTTGGTTCCAGTCCTGGTCCCAGGGCTTGCTTAACCCTGCTACACGGGAGCAGGTCAGAAAGTGGCTATAGTGCTTGTTATCTTCCTCTCCTGGAGAAGAACAATTACTTTTTTCCAGCACAGCAGCAGCTGCAAAACAGGAAGAGAATGATGTCCTTTCTAGAGGTCACTGATTACCCACAGCGGGCTACTCCAGAGTTTATTTCTGTTCTGCCTGTCCCTGAGCCCAGTCCATCAGCCTCAGCTGGTCCCCTGGGTCAGCACGCTGGTTTCTCACAGCCAATATGAAAAGTACACTTTGGTGTTTGTTACTAGGGGCTGATCAACATACAGCGGGTTCCCACCATCCCAGAGCTTGTGCAAAATGAAAAAAAAAAAAGGGCCACATTTCTAATTAACTGATGATTTATCCTCTTGTTATCTCATATCTGCACTGTTCTACTGTGTAAATGACTTGCCAATTTATTACGGATCAAACAAGCTCTCATCACATGCCTGACCCAGTCCCTGTGCCTTGGGGCAGTAGCAAAAAAAAAAAAAATCTGTCTGCTTTTTGCCCTTTACCAAATCTCTGCCTGAGCTGTGCTAACAGTGAAAGTGAAGCTGTCTGGCCATGCCCAGAAGCAGCACTTCACAGGTACGAAGACTAAAAGTTAGGGGGAGAAAAAATAAAAGGGGAAGAAGAAAACAATAATTAAAAGAGTTGCAGCATCACAGGAGTTTCCTGCCACCAGGATGAAGTGGCTGCCAAGACGAGCTTTCAGTTTTACAGGGAGGCAGAATCTAGAAACCAAAATCCTTGGCATTGATTGGCTTAGTGCTGTGAAAGCTTGGCTTTAAGGTCCCAGCACTAAATAGTCAAAGGCCTTATCTGACTGGCTGCTTGTAATGTGCTGCAGGGGACGGTAGTATGATAGGGAGGGCTCATGAAAAGGAGGCTGTGAGGGACCTTGGCTTTTTGTGTGGTGATGGTGAGGAATGAGGGCAGAGCTAAAGGAGGAAGTGCAGATGAAGGAGCTAAAATCAAGGGGTCACTGCAGAGTAGCAGCACTACCCAACCTTTCCTGAGGGAACAACTCAGAACAGAGCTGTTCCTTGAATTAGTATTTTTATATCGCTTCCTGAGCACAACACCACCTCCAGCAACACCTGGTTTTTCTATATTGCTGAACTCCAGTATTGCAGAAAGGCACATTAGTATTTTTCAAAAGCAGTTTTGTCACTGGGTAAATGCTGGCTCTCAGGTGAGACATTTGAGTGAAGTATGTCCTTCAGAGCACTAGCCAGCCATAAAGGCCTGAACTTTTGAAGCAGAAAAAACAAGATTAGGGCATAGATAAATTTGCTTCAATTAAAATTAATTTTTGATAATCCTGGCTTGGACTGAGTTCAATTCAGAGTGCCCAAGATAGTGTAAATTTCATTTATTGCTCTTTAGATGTTTGCAGACCTAGAGTAACAGCAAGACACAAATAAAGGAATAAACTGCAACCTCTAAAGCCTAAGCCAAAGAGCAGAAGTCCTGCCCTCCTCACAGTGACAAGAAGTTCTGCCTGCAGTGCCAAGTAACCCAGGAATGCCTGGGTGTCCTGGTGCCAACACTTGGTGCTGCAAAGCCCCTGGGTTACTCTGCCTGGCCCTGCAATGATTTTGGCCCTGCCTGGTGCACAGAGGCACTGTCACATGTGTCACTTCAGAGCCATTCTCCCAGGGGACTCCAGACAGCTGGGGCCATGCAAAGGCAGGCAAGCAACTGTGCAGCAAGCCAAGCACCTGGGAAGGAGGGAATAGCACAGAAGAAAAGGAGCAGGCTGAGTGCTCTGTGCTTGCATGTGTGGGTTTGTGCAGAAAAACAGTCCTGTGTGGGGGTGAAGGAAGCACCTGTGTGTTTCTGTGAGCGCTGAAGGGGCTCCCAGAAAGACAAGGAGAAGACACCAGCTCTTGGGGCAGAGCTGGCATGCTAATGTGTGTGTGTGAATGGTGTGGCAGCTACGCAGAGTGGTGGGGCATTCCTCCCCGCAGAGGGGAATATCCCCAGGCCACTAATGGGGAGTCATTGCTAAATTAAGTATGTCTGAACCACTTGTTCTTTTCTTACATGTTTGCACTTGTGTGGGAAGAGCAACACAGACAGGCAGCCCTTTTAACACAGGAGGAATTGTAACAAGAAGGAACTGGAACGTGGGGAAGAAAACTCCACAGGTGTAGACTTGAGGCATATAACCAACCCTTCGGCATACGAGGTCAGACTAGGAAATTAGAGACAGCACTCATTCTGCACTACTTTTGCAACTCAAAGAGAGTAAATATCACTGTCCCAGGAAAAAGCAGTGTATCTTGGAGACCATTTGCATGGGACTAGCCTTAATACTCAGTCACTCTCCCCTGCACATCAAATGAAGGAAGAGAAGGGCAAGAGTGAATCATAGCAGCGAGTCAGAGTGCAGGAGTTACCCTTCCCCTCTGATTCACCCTCTGGATGTGCCTCCTCCTCCATCAGCTACCAGGACAGCTTGGCCTCTCAGCTGGAACATCTCAGGGTAAAGCTGACACTGCTTTTACCTTCCCATGTGCATCTGGGGAAGCACTCACCTTTTAATTCTAGCATTTGTATCTCAGCACAGAACAGAGCTGGTGCTGTAGAAGAGCTGGGTGGATGGGAAGGGACCAGGCTAGGAATTTGATACCACCTCAAAGCCTATAGCTAGCCAAAAGCACCCATTTGCAGCTTCCTCCTATTATTACATCTGCAAGCCAGCTGTGATGGTAGAGTATGATTCCCCTCCTCCCCCTGCCAGCACACACACAATTACACCAACACAATTTTCCTTTGTTATCATTAGTGGGGGTTATATGAGGTGGACTGGTGCTGGGGGCTTTGTACCACCACTAGTATGAATTACAGCTCTGCTGGTGTAACAGCTCCTTTTACATCAGAAGTGCTTTGTCTGTCTAGCATAGTCACTGTTATTGCTACATCTGTAAATCGCTCTTAACATAAAGCTTAATGATCTGCATCCCCCTTTTCCATGAACCCCTGCCAAACAAGAGCACAATGCTGCAGCTGTAGCTATTAAGCTATGGTGGCAGCAAAGCACTCCATTAATACCTCATGCTCAGCAGTTTGTGATGCATGAGAGCTGAATAATTATGCCCTTGTTACCCTCAAATGAGAGGCACAATTGCCAGAAACAAGAGTTTACAATTAAATAAAAAAAAAAAAACTGTATCAAGTCAAGGACAACATTGGTTCATTCATAAAACAAGCCTTTCTGAGCAAAAGGACGATGAGGCAGAAAACAGGCTTACATTAATGAGCCAGTTGTTTCTAGAGCTGTATTGTACCCTCTCAGAAAGGCTTCCACAGCCTCTTTATCCCGGCTGTTTTGAGAAACTAGCAGGCAGAAATTTAGCCAAAGCTCTTGTTGCTATGAGTTGAACTGATAGGCAGGTTTAGTTTAGGTTTGAGATACAGGAATAGGAGGCTTTAGCAATGTGAGTATCAAAACCCAGTGCTCTGAAGCATTTGAAACTGAGCAGGCAGGCAAAAGAGACTGAAAATGGGTGTTAATAAAATAGGAGTGATGAATCTGTCCTCCTTCTTGAGGATGCCTTGCTGCTCACACCAGGATAGCAGATCCACACCTTTGGTTAGTGGAGTACAGAAATGACAGAACAATTAACTGTCCCTTCCTTACCTAGAGCTCAACATGAGCAGGGATTTCAGAATCATGTCTGCACTGATATTTCTGGGAGAGGAACAGCTGGTGCAAAGGAAGTAGTTAAAAGGAGGGCAGACAGACTTGCATTATTTTGAGCAACATTGCTCCATTCTCTAAGCAAGTGTAGAGCATATGGTAACAGAAAACTTGTCATCCTTTTTATCTTACCATATTATGCTTCCTGTAAGTCCAAGTGAGGACTAAAAAGAGAGCTCTGACATACACCCCAAGCTTAGCACTGCAGAATAGTGTCTGTCTCCAAGCAGCACATCTAGCAGTGCATACCTAACTGGGGATTTGCTGTCCCCATCTGGCTGGATATGCATCATGCTGCAGAAGAATGTGCTGTCACCTCCTCGTGAAGCTTGACTCTCACCTCAGGACTTGCCAACTTCAAAACAGCCAAGTCTGATTTATTTTCCCACCAGTAATTCAGCCAAGAGATAATAGGTCATAAGAAACAAACTGAGTAGTGATCAGGGCATGTGGGCTGGTCAAAGCAAGTTTCACTGGGATGCCTGGAGAGGACTGGAATTACAAGAAGTCCCGTCTGGCACGCTTTACAGCTATGGTTGCCAACATTTCTGTTTGTGGGCCCTGATTTTTTTCCAGCATGCATAATTTGCATTTTTGGATAATAAGCTTCCCTCATTTAACTTCTCAAGAGTCCAGGAAATGCACAGGTACACCCCACTCCATTCCTCTCCTACCTGTGATCCACAGACCTTTTATTGAAAACCACAGCATAGTACAGACCACAAAGTTCTCCAAGACTGCAGTGCAGTGTTTGAAGTGCAGTGTTTTAAGGCAGCTGAAGCTCTACTTGAATTTTTAAAAACATTCATTGGCAGGCTACAAAACACAAGTAATGCAAGTAAAACCCTTTCAAACTGCTCAGGCAAAGTATCTCCTCGACACAATACTGGTAAGATTATATTGCCAAAAATCCTTCAAGCTATATATTGAGAAATAAAAAAATTAATGGAAATAATATCCCTAAAACGCACAGTTCAATTTATAGCCATACTGACAACAGAGGGACATGGGGGCTTCAATCCCGCTGGAAATACAGGTGGGAAGAGGACGGAGTCCTTCAGACCAAATAACTTCAATCCCAGGATCATCTTTGCCCTCTTGTGGACAACCTTCCCTCCTGCAGCTTCTCGGCAGGTTCCTGTGCAGACGGCAGGAACAATGCAGAATGTATTTCTGCCCTTCCCCGTGCTTCCTTCCGCGGGCTAAGAATAGCCATTCCGAATCCAAGGGGCAGCCACACCCAAAGCCCAGCCAAGCACTGACCCTTCCTTCGCTCCTGCATGACCGAAGCTGTGGGAGAGAGCAAGTGGCTGGTCCTGCTCCTCGCTGTAAGGGCAAAACCATCCCGAAGCCAGGAAATACATCTGTGCCTAGACCGAGGGATGGACATGGTGAGCAGGTGGTGCCTGAGCACTAACAAAGGAAAGCTGCATGCTACCAGCCCATATTCTGCCCTGCTGCACTATATTCTGGTCATTTACAGTAAACCAACTTGCATTACGCTCCTGAGAAGGGGGTTGTCGTTATTCTAGCAATAACACGACTTAAACTGTGTGGTCATGCTCCAAATTATTAAATCTAGTATTTCTGAATTATTTTCTCAAGGTGTAAAATCCACCACTGACATACCTTTATAATACATTTTGCCTTGTTTTCTTGCATCTAGGTAATTCAAAACATTTGAGACCATTTTCCCTTTTGACTCCTTACAATTACACTCATCTCTGGCAACTTCATCGAAGAGACAATTCCATCTTTAAAATTAATTCATCTTGTCATGTTAAAAAAAGAGAAAAACATACTGTGGCAGTCCAGTTCCTGTGCCAACAATGTAGTGCAATTCTCCTCCTGTGTACAAGATGACCACCAGGCAATAAGTCATCTGTAGGATTATGAAACAAGAAAGTACTCCCCTGCCAAAAAAGCAAACATACAGATTTGCTTTCTTTTCCTCACTCCCTACCACTGACAATCAGCCAAACAATTTTTTAAAGATCAAGCGTCTCTCCCTCAACTAAGGAAGTCAGTGACCTGCATTTTTCTACACCAGAATAAATTATTTGCTCCCAACACCTTTTGCTACATTGTGCTCCTTTCTTTAGCAAGTCTACCCCTTTATTTTTTGCCATTCCATATAATCAAGACAATAGGAAGCAGCATCTGGATTATGTTTGTCACAGTAACTTAGAGACCACATATAAAGGCTACTGCAAACTACTCTGGCTGGACCCTGTGGTCAGGGACAATACTGACCTTATCAGATCTTTTTTCCTGGGAACTTCCAGTGAGAATATCTAGCCAGCTGGACCCTCTTCCCCAGGAACAGGCAAACACAATGCAAGGTTTTTCTTCCAAACCAGGAACAAAGAATGATGTTATTTCCTATGGCTGGCTTTGGAAGAACTGCATAGCAGCACCAAATCATAGCAGCAAAACCAAGAAACAGTTATTTACTAAACCTTTATTTTAAAAAATGATTACAAAATATCTTATAAAGTTCCTTAGATCAAGAAAACAACTCATTAAAAAAGATCACAGGTTTAAAATGATAAAAAATACTTAAGCATTTAAAAATTATTTAGATGGAAATTCAAGGCAACACTGGAAATAAAACGACATAATTCTTACCTTACATATATATAAAATTAATGTATTATCATCCTGCTCTGATAATTAAAAATCACTTAAATTCTTAATGGTATTAAAAGTGATATATAGCTCTGTCCAGCATAGAATTTAATATCCAGAGAGTTGCTTATGTTTACAGCAATAGACTAAAAAAGGGATGAATTTCCATCTTACAGGCACTATAAGCATCTTGATTTGCTACAACTTTATAGAACCTTTGAAAAATTTCACTAAGAATTTCCCTTCAGTGTAGAAAGCTTGGTATTTTATTGCAGAAATTTGAACGAGGATCACCATGACAGCCATTATGCAAAAACATCTTGTGCTGAGCTCTGAGAATTGTGTGAGATCACTTGCTGCTCTTTCACATTGGAAGGTGCAAAGGTAGAACTCACCTGTAACAGATCACAACCCTTCCCTGCTCTTTTGAAGCACAGGGTACAGGTAGTAAGGCACAATTCCTTCCCATACTCAGAACCAAAGGGTAGCACTGTGATTTTAACATGGGCTAAACACCAAACACAAAAATTAACATTCACAATCTACACAATGCCCAGTACAGATCTTCAGAGCAAAAGCTCACAGTCCAGCCACTGTGGCAAGTCCCCACATAACCTGAAAAATCCTCTCCACCGATTCTCAAGGCACTGTGAAAAGGCCTTGATAGTGGCTGCAGAGCCTTTAAGGCTGCAGAGCTTTAACTTATCAGGTTCAGCTCGAAAACACCAAAGCTGAGTGTCCAAGCAGGCTGCCAAGCACTGTGATGAAGAATGGAGAAGACAATCCCCAGATAGATATACTGGGCCAGTTGCTTCTTTCCAACAGGCTTTACTACCAGTTATGAGGTACAGAGATGTTCGCTTTGCCAACAGAAGAAATCGGAGGCCGTTGTATCTAACAGCACTTCTGCTAGAGCTCCCATCATTCTCCTGAACAATCCCTAATCCACTTAAACCAAAATCAACCACCTTAATGGAAGCAATTTAAATAGGTGGTTTTAATAAGGTCAGCTGATTTCATCAGAAGCAGGCTGGGAAACAAGCAAAGGACTTTGCTGACAGAGCACAAGGCGTTAGGGACATCCAGCCATACACACAGAGCTCCTGCAGAACCAGACATTTAATCCAGCGCCAACAGCATTCTCTAGGATCAGTCTAATTAAGAGACAGACATTTAAAGCCAGCACCTGACACCAGAGGCATCAAAGGGGCATGTCAAGACTGCAGACCAGTCTACTTAGTCACTGCAGCAAGGAAGCCTCTCCCCCACCTAGACTGGGAGGGCAGAGGAGCTAGGAGTAATAAGGAAAGTTAGTATATAGGAAGCTAAAAAAGTAGCTAAAACAAATAACCTTACAGAGCAGAAAACACACACACACAAATCTGCTTCTCAACTATTTTAAAACAGTGCAAAAACACCTTATGAGGTGCAAGGATTAACAGCACCTCATGCATGTTAGCCAACAACTGTTTTGGAAGCAACATTTTAGGCAACTGCCTAATTTTATGTCACTTGCTCCTAAGTATTTAACTACTGTGTGACAGACTATTGCCAGGTAAACTGCCAAGGCCAGGAAATGACTTTACAGATCCCTTTGTGTATCTCCAGGAATGGACACCAGTAACACATTGCTTAGGTGGGGAAAAGTCTATAGAAAAAGCAACCAAAACCCAGACTTCAATTAACCTATCTTCAGACTGAGAAAAATAACAGGAAAAATTACCTCAAGATAAGTCCACTCACGGTGCTGCATTGCTTAATAAATACTTAGCAGCACAGTGTTACTCTTATACTATATTTACAGCCACCAATTACAGATGAAGATTTAAAGACTGTAGACATTTTGGTGTGGACAAAAATTCAGTAGGACTCTAGGCAATAAAAAGAAACCAAAACAAGACTATTGGAATGTTACTTATATGGGCACGGTCACCAGAGTAAGACATTGCAGATCATAGAGGAGATATTTCTCATTGTGGATATCACTGGTAACATCACTTGTAAACCAAACATATCTAATATCTAATCTAACATATCTAATCTACCCCAGTTATTAGACAGCTACAGCAAGCACTGACTGAAATCAGGTTTTAGTGCAAACAGACACTAATAAATACAAAAAAACCCAACCAAAGAACAAAACTGTTCAAAGAGCATTTCTTCTTTACAAACCAGAAATTTCTATGAAGGAAAGTATCTCTTCTATGCATAGCTCTAAAACCAAGCTACAGCTTTAACTTGGTGCTTCATGCCACCTGGCAAAATTTTACATCCTCCAAGCAAAGTGTAGTGTTAGGGTTAAGTCCCAGGCCATAGAGAGAGAGAAAACATCACAAGCTCACACTCATCAGAAAGTGTCAGCAATGGAAAAAAAAACAACTTTGACTTGCTATTACAGTTCTCTGTCTTAAAACATCTTCTTCTCCCTTTTCCAAATACAGCTCAGGCAGTTTCTGGTGGGCTTGGTCTCAATGCTGCTGCAAGAGGTTACAGGACTGGGAACACACAAGATTGGGATATCGGTGAAATGCAGTCAACACCTGAGAGACACATCAAATATCTCAAGCACTCAAACAAGAATTGTTTTTGCATAATCAGCTTTTTCTCATTTGCTTTAGTATTGTGGAACACCTCCTGGCTTACAGTAATTTGCTCTGCTTTTGAAGAATTTCCTCTTAAGAGAGGAGTAGCAGTCTTGCTTTTACCTCAGACATCAGAAAAATGCTTTTACTTCATTTCTTTTACAGCCATCAATATCTGGTCTGACACATCCGTCACTTGTCTGATATGTGTCCCTTCAGCAGCGTTCCTTGCAGTCCTACAGACTGTCACTTGTAAAACAAATCAAGGGGACAAGTGCTTATTTACCTGTTTACCAACTGAGCTAGTCAGCAGCAAGGAGTCTCAAGCTACTGCCAAATTTATAAACACAGAAAATGGTGAGGTTCAAAACCATTCTGGCAAAACTTAGCATTATCTACACATAAACAAGCTGCATGTGGTATTAACCTTGCAAGTAATATCCACCAGGATAGAACCAACATGCTGTAAGGTTTTTCCTTTTGATACTCAGATTGCTACTTCTGGAGTTGTCTCATGTAAATATTTATTCTTTATCTTATTCCTCTCACAGATGGCTCTTCGAGTTTCTTCCTGCAATTGTTACAACTTTCGAAACCATCTGAAAGAAGATTCTGGTATACAAGTCCAAACTTTGACAAACATGGGGTGCAAAACTGTCTCTTTAATATACCATTTACATTACCTTCCCCATAAACCCTTTACAGTCACTATACCATTAAACTGATCTCCACAGACAGAAGTAAGACATAGCAGTAGTAAAAACAACCCAAACCCCCTTACTTAAGGATAAACATTCCTGTAAGATTCCAGTTAGGTATCCCTTTTACATTCAGTTTGACCAGGAAGTACAAAAATGAATCCTGCAGTGCTAATTTGTAACTTGCAACAGAAGCATATGGTCCAATTAACCGGGAAATATCTTTAGGTTATAGCTCAGAATTTATGCCTCAGACATTAACCTTTATTAGTCATCTCTGTCAAAATCGAATCAGCACACTGCTGTCCTGAAGTTATTCTGTTTAGACCCAAGCTTTTTTAGTGCCTGTCATCCCAGCAGGTAGCAGGACCAGTTACCTTAGAACATGATGCTCAAGATGCCATTAACTGACCCAAGAATCCATAAAAATTTGATGAGCAATACGTACAAAATCGATCATAACAAAGAAAGAGAAGTTATTACCTACAGTGCACTGAAAGCTCATTTTAGTTTGCTTCAATTAAAAAAACAAAACAAAAAACTGAAACTATTTTAGGAAGCTATCTTTGTTTATTCAATGGCTGATTTTCTCTGGATTTTCCTGGAGTGTTACCAGGATTTTCAGGGCGTCCATCGATGTTTTGTTTTTGCCTGAGATAGAGCTCTATACCACATTCAGCTGCAAATGCAAAAGTTGCAAAAAATCCGAATACCTGTGAAAGTGACAGAAATATGTGATTTTAAAAGGCATAAACAGTAATTGTAACCTAACATTGTTTGGAAATATTTGCTGTACCATTTTATATACATTTATATACATTAATAACGCTTATATATTAAGATTACAGTTTTCCTTAAATCAATAGTTCCATTTAAATTAGACACAGATCAGAAATCATAATTCTAGGATGTTCACTGCTGAAGTTTTCACAGTTTTAATTCTCTTTTAATCATTTAAACATTCATTCTTTTAATCAAGTGTGAACCTTATACTGTGTTCCAATCAACCTTTAATCCTGAAAGTATATTAGTTTCATTGCCAAAATCAGTTATTAAAGTAGCACAGCATATAGCAGACTATTTATTCAAGAGAGGGCTGCTGATTAATGAGAGTAAATCAAGAAGAATAACACACAGAAGGTGAAGGAAGAGAAGATCTGCAGAGCCTGGGTCAGCAAGTGAGAATTAAATGACATTTTGTGAATGACATTTCGTTAGTAGTCATGGCAAGATGAGAAGTGGTAAAGAGAAGGCAGCTTTTTTCAAACAAGGAATGAAATATATGCGTTATTCTAACTCTACCTAAATTTTACACAACTGGTTTGGACCAAAGTAATTTGATATTAATAAGTATTACAACACAGTAGTTTTTATTTTTCCTGCACTAGGTAAAAAAAGCAAAGCTGAAACCTGATTTATGCTCAAACTATTAGGTCTAAATAGATCTACATCACATAAGATGACTATACAAAAGTGTGTATCTCTGATAGCTGATGCTGCCTGTGGAACAGAATTATTTTGCTTTCTTTTCCCAATAATTTTTTCTCATTCAAGAATTGGATCTTTTAAACTCACATGTTCACAATTCCAAGGTTACTCAAAAGAAGTATTCAAATGACTAGGGAATTATGACATCTACAGCATCTCAAAAGCCCTTTCAGTGCCTTGCCCTGAGCCTCCTCAGTGTTCCCTGGGAGGTGAATGCCCTGTTGCTCTATTATTTCTGTCACTGAGGAAACTGCTGCTCTTATTGCAGACTGTGCAACTCAGTGTTATCCACATGTGCTCTGTAAAAGCAAAAGACAGGATTTCTTGATGACTTTGTGAGGGGGTGACATTATGAAAAGACAATTGAGGAAAACCAGAAATTTCAGAATTAGGGTTTCAGAGAACTGGACAAGCTTCAAGAGATGATAATGTTGAACAGCAAGAGGTGACAGGAAATAATACAAATCTGAAGCAGCAGGCAAAAGTTAGGGAGCTGCAAGTGCACACAGAGCTTTCCAGAAAACCTGAGGAATCCCACATCTTTGGATTTCCTTTGGTAAGTTTCTGGAAGGTCTGAAATAGCTAATTCCTCCTGAAACATCACAATGCACTGAGTTCTATTCCCTACCCAGCTTTTCCTCTGCAAATTGAGTGAAGTTTAGAGGGCAGAGAAATTAACATAACAGATAAATACAAAGTAAATCTTGCCATTTTAAGACTTACACATGCAGCACTTTCAACAGCAGAGCCAGAGCAGGTTGCAGAAAACACTATTGATGCTAACAGAAACCAGGCAGCTATGACAGGCACAGCCCAAAAATTCTGCAAATATATATATAAAAATATTTATCATTTAACTGTAGATAGGTTACCTAAAAAGAACAAACATCATAACATCAGCTGAGTTGGCTTGCCTATGAATTTGCCTATGAATTTGATGCTAGTGGAAACTTCAGAAAAGACATTTTACAGCGACATTCCAAATGACATTCAACATTATCAGCTATTTAAACAGCATTATCAACTATTTAAAGGAGCCTGGCCTGTTTTTGTTTTTAAGTATTTAACTGATTTCATCTAACCTTTTTTCACAATCACATTCAAGCTCAGATTTTCACAATCAAATTCAACCATGAGCTTTATTCCCTAAGTAAAACATTTGAGAAATTAGAAACTGTAAGTAAATGTGTTCATTCAAACATTTTACTACACTCCCTTATCTGTACTCTCACATAAAGACACTACTGTTTGCTCTGAAGGCAAATAGGAAGGGACACTTGTGAGACAGAATCATGTTCCCACTGACTTTACAGAGCAACTTTCTCCCACCACTGGATCTTCTGAAGTATAAAGCCATAAACTGTAATGTTTATGTAATGCAATGAGTTATGATTGTTGCCAAAAAGGAAAATAGGGTAAACTGCAAGCAAGCATCATGCTGGCAGTAAACTGTATTCCTTATATGTACACATATGCAATGGCTATGCTGTAGTATTAGTAGCATTAAAAGACTTTTCCACACGTCCTAAAATCCTGCAGGTAGCCAACTTTGAAAAAGATGTCAGTACAAACTCTCAAAGTTGGCTCATTTTAAAACTATAAGATACTTGAATCTACTCTTTACATGGAGAAGAAAAGGAGATTAATTTTGCATAGGCTTTTTATTCCACAGCAGGCTTTATGCACTTAGAACAGTTTGTTTTTCCAAAATAAAAAAGTTTTCTTACCAGTTTCTGCACTTTATCTTTCCCCAGTGATTCATACAAATCAGTGCAATACAGACACAGAATCAGGAGGCTCAAAAGAAAGGCACTGCAGCTTATGAATTCAAAGAAGTAAAGTCCACTACAAGTGCTGCAATCATCCACAATTTCTTCACAAACAACAGCCACAAAAGAAAAAATCTGCAAGCAAACAAATAACAACATGCTTGAGTTGGATCAAGTCTCTAACATCTTCAACAAGCAGACATCTCTGATATCAAGATTAATAAAGCTAGCTGTGACAAGAATTCTCAATCTACAAAGAGTTTGGTGAAGTTCTGCACAATTTTCTTACAGACAGAAATAATTATACAATGACACGGTTTACACTTGGCTGTTAAAGGTAGTCAATAAAGTACACTCAGGTAAGGAGAGCACACAGGCAAACAGAGGCTTCTTGATTAGACAGACAAGATTCCTGTTTTGTGGTTTTGTGCAACTGGCAGTTGGAAGCAGATGAGACAGTGTGGAGAATAGATATCCTGCAAAAATGCTACTGCTTACTACATACTGAGCTGCACACTGAGTTCTGAATGAATTTGGGCTCAGGGCAGTGGGGGAAACTGGACAGTACTGACACACTCAGCCACCTCCCCTAAAAGTTCACAGCTGATGTTACCTGTCTTGATAAAACTTCAGATAAAGTCCATGAACCCAACACTCACGTGCTTGTGACCCAGTAATGACAGAAGCTCAACTGTTCCTGTAGGAACCAAAACTTTACAGCTATGCTCAAGCTATGTCGGACAATGTTTAATCTATGCAGAGCTTTATCTTCACCTTCCTGCCAAAGTGTGGTTCGAGAAAAAATGTGACTTACTTCCTGTACAGCCACCATATCCCTGCTGCTGGATTTTCTACTATTTTATTAAGGAAGAATATTGCTTTATTTAACTGTTCACTTATTTTGACCACTTCTTGCTAGCTTCCTTCATCCCATAAACTTGGCATAGCTTTACAGATCTTCATAGTAAGGAGTTCACCAAATTAAAACAAAACCATGAATAAGATCAGACTGGGTCATAAAATTGAGACTGACATGAGAATGATGATCATATTTTAATAAGAGTATGTGGGCAATAAAGAGGTTAAACATTCTTTGTTAAAAACAAACAAACCAACCTAAATTTAAGATTCAGAATTGTTCTTGGAAAATATGAAACCAGTCTTCGGTTTCAGTTTTCTCACAGTAAAAGCAAGAACAACAATTTAGCAGTAGGAAATGTAAATTCCCCTTACTAAGCCAGGTCTCAGAGGAGCACATCAGAGAACCATGTTTTGGAAATGCAACAATAAAAAGTAAACAGGAGCTCAGAGAGGGAAAGAATGGGAGCTGGGAAACTTCAATATTACTATCAGGCCTCCCCATGTTTCCTTTCTCTCCCACAGTGTCTGGCAACACAAACTTCTCAGCAGCCTTTGCACCTAAACCAGTGAACTACAGTATCAGTCCAGGAATTTTTTTTAACTCTGACTTTCCAGTTTTTATGGTTTGGGTTTGGTTTTGGTTTGTTGTTTTTTTTTTTTTTGCATTTCTAAGCATGTGCTTACAACTGCATCCAATGACTTTCAATTTCACATTTTTCACAAGGTCAGCTGTGAGATAGCACTGTACATGAAAACATCTCTTTTTATAAGAACTGGAAACTGAATGCCATCACTTTCATTTGGGCTGAAACAGAACAGAAAGAAAATAAACCTGTCCTTAAAGAATATATCCAGATAACCATTACATGGTCTAAATAACTGAAAAAAGCTTCTCCACTGAGTGTACAAACAAGTTGAAAAAAATCCCACTCAAAGAGCAGTTATAAAGGGTTCAGTGTCAAATAACTGAGATTCACCAAGTAGAATCCTGTGTGGGACTTGCCCAAGTCAATATTCCATTTTTTTTTAATTAATAAATTGAGTAATAAAATAGAGTACAACAATTAAAAAAAAAAAGTTGGATTGAAGAACTTTGAGTAAGTGCTTTGATTAAGTTAATGTATCAGCAGCACATTTACAAGATGCTAGAGAGCTCTTCTTGGGTTTCTTAACTTGCTCTTTGATATCACTATCAGGAAAAACCAGGATTCCTCTGTTGTCCTACTACCACAAAAAAAAAATAGTTTTAAACACCAAATGCATTGTTGGAGAAGCAGTTATTTTGGATTTTTAAAATTTTGTTATTAGTCCTGTCTGTACCCCAGAAGTTAAACATAAGTCTGTGTCTTACCAGCAAGAAATTATTCATTGATACTGACATTACTGTTAAAAGTTTCTAAATAAATGTCAATTTTGTAAAGAAGATTTAACAAGTGAATTGCTACAAAAATAGAGCAGATCAATGAACTTGCCAACAAGCCTGTGAACTTGCTCAGCAGTGGGATTCCCAGTAGTTCAGACAGGTGCACATATTAATTCTCTATTAAGTCTGCACAATTCAGGCTACTAATCAACTCAAAAAGGAGCTGATTTTTAAGCCTGAATTACAATTTTCCTTTCCAGCTAGGGAATTTTGACTAGAGTTAAACAATAGTTGATGACAGCTTGTCCTGCTTTAGGTAAGAATTTTCTAAAGTTTCTACCTCAGTCTTGGCATAATACACACTGTGCCATTTACCATTGTGCAGAATTTTAACCTGTCATGGACTAACAAAAACATTCCACCTATTTAAAAATAAAAAAACAAACAAACAATCCAAACACCACACCGTCCTAGAAACCTGTGCAATAACATGCCTCCCAACATCCTTTTGGCACTCACATTTGTGACTTTTGGCAGTTGTATTTTCCTTGTTTCATTTGCTCAAAAGAACTGGCTAAGATTTCAGTGTATGCTATTATGCATTTAAAGAAAAGTATTTCTTAGGTTTAGAAGATAGTTTTCTGCAGGTGATTTCAGAGTATTTTATAGAACCCTTGATCACCTCTACAATGAACAGAGTCTGCTTTCTGATTGCAACACCCTGTTTTAGCAGTCCACAAAAGAAATTATCAAGGCATAATCCCAGTAACAACCACTACTGTAACACAAAGTCAACAGATGTTAATGATCATTGCGGGCATTTCCAAAAATCAATACTTTCCCAAAAGAGGAACCTTCTTACTGCAGAGACTGAGGGTTCCACCTTCAGGACTTTCTGGGGCTTGTTTAAAGTGTTTTGACTGAGACTTCAAGATCTGTGCATTTTGATAAAGGTTACAAAAAGGTGGGAAAAATGTTGGAAATTAGGTGGGTGAACAACTAGAACTCCATTTTCTTTTTCCTCTCACTGACAAATGGGTGCAGGCCATAAACTGCTACTTATTTAAGAATAAGTAATAAGTAATAAGCTGTCAAGCAGCTATTCATCCTGTTTAGGATAATGACAATTTTTCTGGTTTTGTACTTAGAAACCATTTTAAATAATTAAACAGTTTAAGGCTTTGGTACATCAGTAAATTTGCCTACATAATCACTTATTTTATTTTAGTCAATGAACCTACTTATATAAATGTTCTGTTTGTCAGGGAGCAGAATCCAGCAGATCTTGCTTTAATAATCTCCAGTAGATGAATTAAAAGTTTATGTTCCATTATATTTATTTAAAGCATTCTTGGGTGTGATTTTTTTAAACACCCTTAGAAAAGTTTCTTTTTGGCAGTGTTACCACTTTACGAACTGTAAAGAATATTACATTTACGGTTGAGGGTTTTGACTGTATGTGAGATGAAGCTTAACACCCAAACGTCCTCTTTTCTGCAATGGTGAAGTAACAAGAAAGGGTTGGAAATTACCTACAATTCCTGTAAGCATGACACATCTGACTAAAAAGCCACTGTGTTTGCACTGCGTGCAAAATGCACGCTGACACATTTCCAGTCAGCTGCCCTTTACCGCCATGGGTTTCAGTCATTCCCTGCCAGTACGTAAGAGTGATGCTCCTCACATCCTTATCAGCAGTAACACTGGTACATTTTGGAAGAGCCCATCACCAAATACTGAACAGACCTTGCACCAGGAGCCCAAACGCTTGATTCAGAAGCAACAACATGTAGTAAAAAAGCCAGAAGAAAATAAGCCTTTTATTTCCTGGTGGGTGCAGGGCTGCCTGATGTGATGTCTCATGCAATGGGCCACCGTGATTACGGGTTTCTGGTGCAATTTTCTACCACAAACCATGGGAGAAATAGGCTCCTTAATTTTAGCGTGGACCGTACACACTGACAGGCTTAGAACGGGCTGCAGGAGCAGCAAGAGAGGAAGGTCTGGAGCTCATGACCCAGCAATGCCTTCCCAGTTCTACTGCCCTATGGTGAGGTTCAACCAAAAGCTTCTTCCTCCTCTTTTCATACAATCCTGCCCTCAGAAGAAAACACTACATTTCCTGCGAGGCTTCCCTCTGATTTTGAGCCAGAGCGGGTGGTGTTTAAGGCCAGCAGGTAGCTGCACCACGGCGGCTGCAGCACCGAGCCTCGGGAGCACGATGCCGGCACCATCCCATGTCAGCACCTCCTCCCGCAGCTCAGACATGAAGAAGGAACGCTACCAGCACTTCCTATATAAATCCTACCACAAATCACTTGAAACCTGCATTATAAGGCACCATACCATCTTTCCACCTAAGTTACACGTCTGCACAACTTTAGTGACCCCATGCCACGTCCCAAGCCAGGACACCTTCCCGGCGGAGCCAGCCCTTTCCGACCGGCAGAACCCATTCCCTCGAGGCCTGTGTGTGGCCATCTCCTCAGCCTGCGCTGGTTCACAGAGGAGTTTAATTTTTAAACGGCGGGGACCGCCCTAAAGCCGAAGGTCATCACAACACGCTCGTTTCCATCCCAGAGCGGGCCACCCCCGCCCCGCCGGGCTCAGCCCCAGGATACTCTCGGTGTCCCGGTCTCTCCGGCCGCTGGCAGCTATCCTGCCGGGACTGCTCCCTCCGCGCCAGGCCCGGCACGTCCCGCACGGCGAGGGGAGGCGGGCACTCACCGTCTGGACCACCTTGGCCGGCAGCCGCCATCCCCACAGGTGCCGCAGGGTGCAGCCGCAGGGGCAGCGGCGAGGCGCCTTCGCCTCCGGTTCCGTGGTCTGGTTGTAGACGGTACCGTTCTCCATGGCCGGGCCGGGCCGCCGGCTGTCAGCTCGGAAAAACCGAAAGCAAAAGGGCGACAGGTGGGGCGGGACGGGGCGGGGTGCCTTCGCCTCCGCTTCCCTGGTCCTGTTGTGGACGGCGCCCGGGCCGGGCGGGCCGTGCCGCCGGCTGCCAGCTGGGAAAAGCCGCGAGAAAAAGGGCGGCAGGTGGGACAGGAGACCCCGGGACGCCCCGGGGGGCCTGGGGGGTCCCCCGGGGGCCCGGGTGACCCCGGGGGACCTGGGGGACCCCCCTGGGGCCCGGGGGATCCCGAGGGGCCTGGGGGGGATCCCGAGGGGCTTGGGGGCGCCCCCCGGGGCCCGGGGGATCCTGGAGGGCCTGGGGGGGCCCCCGGAGGCCCCAGGGACACCGGGGAGCATGGAGGGCCCCCCGGGGGCCCGGGGGATCCCGGAGGGCCTGAAGGGACACCCGGAGGCCCGGGGGGCACCGGGGGGCCTGGGGGGACACCCGGGCGGCCGGGGGACACCAGGGGGCCTGGGTGGTCCCCCGGGGGCCCGGGGGATCCCGGGAGGCCTGGGGGGTGGTGTTCGCTCCAGCGTTTTCTCTAGCGGTTGTTCCCGGCGGGGCAGGGGCGCTCCCCCTGGCGGCCGCGGGCGGGGGCGGCCCGTGAGGGACGGCCCGCGAGGAACGGCCTGGACCGCGGGGCCGCCTCAGGCCCCGTCTGGGCTCCTTTCACTAACCGGGGCTTGGTAGGTAAAGTTTACAAGATTATTCACTTGTCACACGAGATTACGGTATCAGAAGAGGGTTTTAAGCCAAAGCTTTCCCTGCTTACGTTCACAGAATCAATTAGATTGGAAAAACCCTCTGAGATCATCGCGTCCGGCCTATGATGGAACACCAGCATGTCAACCAGACCATGGCACTGAGTGCTACATCCAGTCTTGCCTTAAACACCCCCAGGGGTGGTGACTCCACCACCTCCTTGGGCATCCCACTCCAGTGTCTAATCACCCTTTCTGTGAAGAAATTCCTCCTAATGTCCAACCTAAACCTCCCCTGGGTGCCTCTTGAGGCTGTATCCTCTTGCCCTATCATGAGTTGTCTGAGAAAAGACCCTGCCCCCCACCTTGCTACAACCTCCTTTCAGGCAGTTCTGGATATCACTAAGGTCACCTCCTTTTCCCAGTCTAAACAACCCCAGCTCCCTCAGCTGGTCCTCGTAGGACTCGTGCTCCAGACCCTTCACCAGCTCTGCTGCCCTTCTCTGGATTGATTCCAGACCCCCAATGTCCTTCCTGAACTGAGAGGCCCAAAACTGGACAGAGCACTCAAGGTATGGTCTCACCAGTGCTGAGTACAGGAGAAGAATCATTGTCATTAAAGACATTCCTTGTTGTCAATGAGAGAAAATACTCATATCCCCAAGCCTCTTCTAATATACTCCCATTCCATTGCCCAAATCAGCTTTTAAAAGAAACTCTAATTTTTATTGCATACTAAGAGTAGATCGAACATTTTATATGTAAAGCAAAGGTGTGTTATGCTTGCTTATATATTATTGATGTGTTATCCAAAGAGCTATTATGGTCATTCATATTCAGTTATACTTGTTTAACTTCAAGGAAATGGAAGATTGCTGCACATTGTAAAAGAGGAGATTTGCTTGCTTAACATTAGGTGTATAGGAACAGATTCCCTGCTTAGGGAACAGATCAGGCTGTTTGGACATTGCTTCTCTTTGGGAGCCACATAGTGCAGTGTGTGCTACAGAGCCCCGTGAGGCTGGGGCTACTTTTAACTCCGCCAGGACACCCTCTCAGCTGGGCACATGTGGAAGTATGGGCCAGACCAAAGCAGCTGGGCCACACTCCCTGCTGAGTGTGTACCAGCAGGCTGTGTGCCCGACTTCTCCCAGTAAGAAAACACAATCCAGGGGAATACACAGTGTCCCTAGGCAGGAGCATACAGATCTGTCTCTGCCATAAACATGTTTGGCTACAGGAATTGGCTTGGGATGCAAATGAGGAGGGCAAGTCCTGTGATTCCGAAGGGGTGGGTGTTTCTGCTAAAACAAATGAGGTATCACCATGGGTGTGCCCTAGCTTCTGCCTGGGATTGGGGTGAGTCTAACAGGGCTCTGTTGGCAGCAACCCAGACTACAGGACGGAGCAGGTAGGTGTAGTCAGGAACATTTGCTTATAAATCCCTAGTGCCTTCACTATCTTTTTTTCACACTAGTACATTATAAATTAAATTACATTACAGAGGCTGACATCTCTCTTCTGAAGGAAATTTCCCTCTTGTTTTCTTCCTTCATAATTTTTCACAACTGGCTGAATAACATTCCAAAGCCACACAGCATGTGTCTAGGCTATATTGTGGTGTGACAGGGACAGGATTTAACTAAGATAGAAGCAGCTGTCAGGTGTTTTAAGGTATTCAGAAGCATCTAAGGCTATTTTGTAACCCTTCCTTTATGAGTCTTTAGAATGCCTTCATGTGGAATTGCTTATGAGTACAGATATAAGTACTGAAGACAACTGTCTTGAGGACAGACTGCTTTTCAAGGAGCCACAGAAACACAAGACAAGACTACAAAAGATAAAATAGATGGCAACCTCTTTCCAGTTTCTACTGCCTTTAACCTGGTTTTCCTGTTCAGGCTCTCTCCAGGAAATACATATCAACGATGCATGAATGATAAAGGTTAGCTTGCCATTTAAAGCCTAACTTACTGAGGCCAGTTTATTTATTTGTTTATAAGAGGCTCGGGAAAAGCAAAACTACAGCAAAGCTAGGGAACTGTAAGGTCATGTGACAGAAGGAATGAAAACTGGACAACAGCATAGTTGATATCTTGAAAATACTTAAAGCATTACATTATGCTGTTCTTCACAGAGGTACAGCAGGTGCTCTTCACCCTTTTTATCACACTACTTTCTAGTAGAGTATTTTCCCTTTAAAGAGGGAAATAAAACAGGTACTGTAAGTAAGAATAGAGTTTAATACAAATAACAGTAACTGGCTGACTGTGATGTGATGGAAATCCCATTCCAGGTAAACAGCTATTAATTTATTTTTGGTTATGTGCTACACCTGACAGTTTTCCAGAAGAAGTCTTTCTTATCCTGCCATAGCCTCTTCTGGAATGGCAGGAGCAGAGCTAAAGGCAGGACGTGGTAGCAGAGAAGCAACCCCATAGTTGGATGCTGAGCTGTGGTAACATCTCCACTCAGCCAGGCACACAGAGGGATATCAGTGGAAGCAGATTAGTGATGAATGACCTAGTTTTCTCCTTCATTACATCTCCTCCAAGACACCCTCCATAGTGACCAAAAAGCAATACCAATGGAGAAAGCCCCCTCAGTAGAGGAGATTGCAGTGTACACAGCATAGCTGTATGACAGTTGCCACTTCTTGCCCCCATGCTGAAATAATTTCAAAAATGGTGGCTGGAGTTCCTTGAAGCAGTTGAGTAGATGCCAGCTACTGCAATAAGGGGGCTCTGGGCCACAGCTGCATCGCTGTTCTCATCAAGTGAGCCCCAGTGGCTGTTTGGCACTCTCTGTGTGCTGTGATACAATGCAACACTAAAGCCTGAGTCCCTCACACTCAGAATTGGCAGCACCAGCCTCATGAATTCATGTTCTCCTTTTCCCACTTTCAGAAATGCAGTTATGGGTGGTTTTGCTTTTCTTTCCAGAAGGCAAGGGAGGAGTAAGTAGAGGAATGGGAAAGCAGCTTGGAAGCCCAAACCACTGAAGGAGACAGACGTCATTTCATTGGAAGAGTGATGAGGAAGAAGTGTGTGTTACTGCACAATTCAGGGAGCTCCACTTAAGACAGCCTGTCTGAGGCACATCTCCTTCATTTTGATGTTCTCACATGGGCATCTGAACATCTTCTCTTCAAGACTATCCCCATGTATTATACGAAGTAAATATATGAAAAATACGAAGTTTACAGGATGATTAGCTAGCAAATGGAATATTCTAAGTACTACAATGAACTCAGAAGACTTGAATGTACTGCATCTGCTGAACTTCCTTTTCCTCTTGAGGTTCTATTTTTGTGCTCAGTATTGCAGCTGAACTTCACAAACTGTGACACCACACGAAACAGGCCCAAACGTGTGATTTTTAAGCAGCTGAAGATGAAGAATTAACATTTTTAACAGCTATTACTAAGTATCCCTTATGGCACTACAGATGAAATCCCCACACTTACCAAATGCAAGCTTAGTCCAACTCTTCTCAGTGTTTTTTTGCATGCATCTGCATGGCACAGAGAAGCATTAAACCATGAGATATTTGATAGGCAACAGTTCTGCTAGGTGTTCCACTGCCAATTGTTTGTTCCCCAAGAAGAGATGCTAGCCCAACAGGCAGCAATTCTTGCATTTCAGAAGTATCACTAGAAATTTAAGGTTAATACAGTAGCTAGTCCATAAAACCTAAAAGCCATGTGCACATTTCAGAGATTGTAATTTTCAGCTGAAAAGTATGACCTGCCTGGAAATAAAGTGGACATTTACTCAAAAATTTCAAGCTTAAAATTTGCAGAGCAGCTTTATTATAACCAGTATATTCAAAAGAACTGATGTGGGAACAGGGGACAGAAGGAGAAAGAGAAGATTTACAAAATTCCCCTGAAACAGTTTAGTTTCAGTCTAATCAGCAACTTGTCTACATTCAACTAGCCTTGAAAGTCTAAAGAAATTTAGTTGATTTAAATTGCAGCATTTTTTCAGTGTTCATACTGAAAAACATTTTTAAAGTATTATTATTAAAATTGTGCCCTGTTATATTACCTCTGCTTTCTGCATCTTATGTGCTAGTCTGAAACTTTGTGTCCAACAGCAATAAAGGCAGAGAAGTGATTGAGAGAAAAATTAATGTAATTTGTACTGTTACTCTTTTAAAAATTGGGGTAATCCCAAACCTAACCTCTCCCCAGCCTAGAGCAAGATGTTATTTTTGCCAAATTAGCTTCAGTGGTTTACCCAATTTATTTAGTTTGGTGCTTACTTGATGGTGAAAGAAGGAGAACAGGGAGCAGGGTTTACTG